TCTCCGCTACAGTTCTGCCTGCTCTGACTCTGGTCCCTGTCTCCAGTCCCACGTCTCGTCATCTTGCTACTCTGTCCTGGATTCCCCACTCATTACTCCCTTGGATTCCCCTCCGGACCTGCTCACCCTGTCTCAACCCCACTTGCTCCAGCCTCAGCCTCCACACCTGGTTTCCAGCAGTTTCCCCTGACCTGCACTCCATCTTCTCCCTGTGTTTCAATAAATATCTTGGTTACTTCATCCCAGTCTCCTCGTCTGAGTCTACTCTTGGGTTCCCCTGTTCCACTCCACGTAACACTCTTGTGGTATGTCTCTATAAGCTTGGCACATCTAGCCACTGGGATTTTTGCCCATTCTTCAAGGCAAAACTGCTCCAGCTCATTCAAGTTTGATGGGTTCCGCTACAGCAATCGTTAAGTCATATCACAGATTCTCAATTGGATTGAGGTCTGGGCTTTGACTATGCCATTCCAAGACGTTTAAATGTTTCCCCTTAAACCACTCGAGTGTTGCTTTAGCAGTATGCTTAGGGTCATTGTCCTGCTGGAAGGTGAACCTCCGTCCCAGTCTCAAAACAGGTTTCCCTCAAGAATTTCCCTGTATTTAGCGCCATCCATCATTCCTTCAATTCTGACCAGTTTCCCAGTCCCTGCCGATGGGGATGGTGTTCTTGGGGTGATGAGAGGTGTTGGGTTTGCGTCACACATACCGTTTTTCTTGATGGCCAAAAAGCTCAATTTTAGTCTCATCTGACCAGAGTACATTTTTCCATATGTTTGGGGAGTCTCCCACATGCCTTTTGGCGAACACCAAACGTGTTTGCTTATTTTGTTCTTTAAGCAATGGGTTTTTTTCTGGCCACTCTTCCATAAAGCCCAGCTCTGTGGAGTGTACGGCTTAAAGTGGTCCTATGGACAGATAATCCAATCTCCGCTGTGGAGCTTTGCAGCTCCTTCAGGGTTATCTTTGGTCTCTTTGTTGCCTCTCTGATTAATGCCCGCCTTGCCTGGGCCGTGAGTTTTGGTGGGCGGCCCTCTCTTGGCAGGTTTGTTGTGGTGCCATATTCTTTCCATTTTTTAATAATGGATTTAATGGTGCTCTGTGGGATGTTCAAAGTTTCAGATCTTTTTTTAGAACCCAACCCTGATCTGTACTTCTCCACAACTTTGTCCCTGACCTGTTTGGAGAGCTCCTTGGTCTTCATGGTGCCGCTTGCTTGGTGGTGCCCCTTGCTTAGTGGTGTTGCAGACTCTGGGGCATTTCAGAACAGGTGTGTATATATACTGAGATCATGTGACACTTAGATTGCACACAGGTGGACTTTATTTAACTAATTATGTGACTTCTGTAGGTAATTGGTTGCACCAGATCTTATTTAGGGGCTTCGTAGCAAAGGGGGTGAATACGTATGCATGCACCAGTTTTCCGTTATTTATTTTGTAGAATTCTTTGAAACAATTTTTTCTCATTCCACTTCACCAATTTGGACTATTTTGTGTATGTCAAATTACATGAAATCAAAATCCATTTAAATTACAGGTTGTAATGCAACAAAATAGGAAAAACGCCAAGGGGGATGAATACTTTTGCAAGGCACTGTAGCTGTACCATGGTATTTGCACTACTACTGAATAAACCTCCAACTGTTCTCCACTCTTCCACCCGCTAAAATCTCCCCCCCCATCCCAAGTTCGATTGTCATCCCTTCCCTTTGTAGTCCGTAATAGTTTGCAAGCCCTGCCACATCCGACGAGCATCGGAGCCGGTGTAGTAAGATTCAATATTAGTCCTATATTGACGCTTTGCCTGTTTGATGATTCGTCGGAGGGCATAGCGGGATTATTTATAAGCGTCCGGGTTAGAATCCCGCTCCTTGATAGTGGCAGCTCTACCCTTTAGCTCAGTGCAGATGTTGCCTGTAGTCCATGGCTTCTGGTTAGGTTATGTACAGTACATGTCAAAAGTTTGGACACACTTACACATTCAAAGATTTTAATTTATTTTTACTATTTTCTACGTTGTAGAATAATAGTGAAAACATCAAAACGATGAAATAACACATATGGAATCATGTAGTAACCAAAAAAGTGTTAAACAAATCAAAATATATTTTATATTTGAGATTCTTCAAATAGCAACCCTTTGCCTTGAAGACAGCTTTGCACACTCTTGGCATTCTCTATACCAGCTACACCTGGAATGCTTTTCCAACAGTCTTGAAGGAGTTCCCACATATGCTGAGCACTTGTTGGCTGCTTTTCCTTCACTCTGCCATCCGACTCATCCCAACCCATCTCAATTGGGTTGAGGTCGGGGGATTGTGGATGCCAGGTCATCTGAAGCAGCACTCCAGCACTCTGCTTCTTGGTAAAATAGCCCTTACACAGCCTGGAGGTGTGTTGGGTCATTGTCCTGTTGAAAAACAAATGATAGTCCCAATAAGCCCAAACCAGATGGGATGGCGTACCGCTGCAGAATGCTGTGGTAGCCATGCTGGTTAAGTGTGCCTTGAATTCTAAATAAATCACAGACAGTGTCACCAGCAAAGCACCCCCACACCATAACACCTCCTCCTCCATGCTTTACGGTGGGAACTACACATGCGGAGATCATCAATTCACCCACACCGCATCTCACAAAAACACGGCGGTTGGAACCAAAAATCTGAAATTTGGACTCCATACCAAAGGACACATTTTCTCCGGTCTAATGTCCATTGCTTGTGTTTCTTGGCCCAAGCAGGGCTCTTCTTCTTATTGGTGTCCTTTAGTAGTGGTTTCTTTGCAGCAATTCGACCATGAAGGCTTGATTCACACAGTCCCCTCTGAACAGTTGATGTTGAGATGTGTCTGTGACTTGAGCAAATGCGGAGGCTGATAACTCTAATGAACTTACCCTCTGCAACAGATGTAACTCTGGGTCTTCCATTCCTGTGGCAGTCCTCTTGAGAGCCAGTTTCATCATAGCGCTTGATGGTTTTTGCGACTGCACTTAAAGAAATGTTTCGTATTGACTGACCTTCATATTTTAAAGTAATGATGGACTGTCATTTCTCTTTGCTTATTTGAGATGTTCTTGCCATAATATGGACTTGGTATTTTACCAAATAGGGCTATCTTCTGTATACCCCCACCACCTTGTCACAACACAACTGATTGGCTCAAATGCATTAAAAAGGAAAGAAATTCCACAAATTAACTTTTAAGAAGGTAAACCTGTTAATTGAAATGCATTCCAGGTGACTACCTCTTGAAGCTGGTTGAGAGAATGCCAAGAGTGTGCAAAGCTGTCAAAGGCAAAGGGTGGCTATTTGAAGAATCTCAAATATAAAATATATTTTGATTTGTTTAACACTTTTTTGGTTACTACATGATTCCATGTGTTATTTCATAGTTTTGATGTCTTCACTATTATTCTACAAATGTAAAAAATAGAAAAAATAAAGAAAAACCCTTGAATGAGAAGGTGTGTCCAACCTTTTGACTGGTAGTGTACATACGGTCACTGTGGGGACGACGTCGTCGATGCACTTATTGATGAATCCAGTGACTGATGTGGTGTACTCCTCAATGCCATCGGATGAATCCCGGAAAATATTCCAGTCTGTGTTAGCAACACAGTCCTGTAGCTTAGCATCTGCGTCATCTGACCACTTCCGTATTGAGCAAGTCACTGGTACTTCCTGCTTTAGTTTTTGCTTGTAAGCAGGAATCAAGAGGATAGAGTTATGGTCAGATTTGTCAAATGGAGGGCGAGGGAGAGCTTTGTACGTGTCTCTGTGTGGAGTAAAGGTGGTCTGGAGTTTTTTCTCTCTGGTTGCACATGTAACATGCTGGTAGAAATTAGGTAAAACAGATTTAAGTTTCCCTTTATTAAAGTCCCCGGCCACTAGGAGCGCCGCCTCTGGATGAGCATTTTCTTGTTTGCTTATGGCCTTATACAGCTCGTTGAGTGCGGTCTTAGTGCCAGCATCGGTTTGTGGTGGTAAATAGACTACGAAATATATAGATAAACTCTCTGTAAATAGTGTGGTCTACAGCTTATCACGAGTTACTCTACCTCAGGCAAGCAAAACCTTGAGACGTCCTTAAAATTAGATTTCGTGCACCAGCTGTTATTGACAAATATACTCATACCGCCACCCCTTGTCTTACCAGAGGAAGCTGTTCTATGTTGCCAATGCATGGAAAACCCAGCCAGCTGTATGTTATCGATGTTGTCGTTCAGCCATGACTCAATGAAACATAAGATATACTGCTTTTAATGTCCCATTGGTAGGATAGTCTTGATCGGAGCTCATCCAGTTTATTATCCAATGATTGCATGTTGGCTAATAGGACGGATGGTAGAGGCGGATTACCCACTCACCGTTGGATCCTTACAAGGCACCCCGACCTACGTCCCCTATATCTCGGTCTCTTCTTCATGCGAATGACGGGGATTTGGGCCTTGTCCGGTGTCTGAAGTAAATCCTTCACTCGTTAAAGAAAAAAATATTTTGTCCAGTACGAGGTGAGTAATCGCTGTTTCTGATATCCAGAAGCTATTTTCGGTCATAAGAGACGGTGGCAGAAACATTATGTACAAAATAAGTTACAAATAACGCGAACACACACACAATAGCTCAATTTGATATGGGAGCCCGTAAAACGGCAGCCATCTCCTCCGGCGACATTCTTGACAGTTTGTCGGATGTCACCAGCTGTCTACTACTTTAGATATGGATAACGTGATTAGAAAACATGATCAGCAGAGATAGTACACAAGTTTTGATTGGTTTACAGTTTAGTACTCTGTGGCATTTGCCTGTCCCGTTAGCGAACATAAGTATTTTTATATTTTTTTGTACAGGAATTGACATAAGCAGATAGCGTGCTACGGCCCAACACCTACATTTATATGCAAATTACAGAATATAAACGTGTAGAAAGTGTATGAACCACATCAGAGAAGAAACAGTGTGGCGTAGGTGCATTGCAGAATAACACTGTCACAGGTAGTATCGGGTTAGAACATGGTTTATTCGGTACACCTGTGTTTATTAAATATTTACACAACAAAGTGTAGAGAACCTATAACGTGACAGATTCACAACAGCACAAGAAGGTTGCAGGAACATACAATGACTTCAGTTGAGAATCCCCTCAAAAGAACAGGTTAACCACTATACCCGTGTTTCCTCCCCCCAAAAAAATAGGTGCCGTTGGGGCTACTTGAGGACTGGAGTTGGGAAACACGTTTCTTTCGATACCTTGTTTTGTAAAACAAGAGGTTGTGTTTGCATCCTTCCCTGTTGGCAGAGAATAACTTGTTTTGAGAAGACACCCATCAAATGAATTAGGGCAACCATATTTTAAATGCATGTGCGTTTTTCAAAAAGATGGACAATCGCAAATCAGAGGGGTCAGAGTTCGAGCTGAGCAGCCACATGGGCAGGCAGAACGCAGCTGTCCAGGTCTTTACTTGGGGGGCCTGTAAGCGATCTTCCTGCTCTTCAGCACAGACCACCTGTGCCTCTTCATGTAATAGACCAGGGGGACCAAGATGGCGGAACCCATGAGCAGCTGGGGGGGGGGGGGGGGGAGAAAGAGTTTGAGTGAGTTGGATCCCTCAAGTCTTTTTAAATTCTATTAAGTTCTGTTAAATACATTCATTGCATTTAATTTCATATATATGAAAGCACTACTTGTCATGTATTAAAACAGTGGTCACCAACTGGTCGATCTTAACGGCATTCCTAGTCAATCACCAAACATTTCTGTAGAAAAACCAATGATAAAGGCTTGCACTCCTATTTAGTTTTCTTATTCGTCTTGCGCTGTTGGCGGTAGGTGTACTTGATTCAGAATACCTATTTTGAACCATTTAATTTGTCTGAAGGGACAAACTCCGCCTGCCTGGCAGACCAGGAGAGCTGTGGCTAAATCAAATGTGCCTACGGCACTGGGAAATCGGATAGCTCAAATCACCATGCCTACAGCTTCCACGACCCAAGAGCAAAGTTTGATACTAGCCTACGTGAGATTTCATAACTTTAAAAACTATGACCAGAAAGAATAAAGCAAAAAGCTGCTGTTTTTATGAGTTCAAGTTTATTCAGCACGGTCATTGTTTTTATTCAACACTTTTTCTATACATAAAAACGTACTTCTCCCTACTTCCACTCGCGCTGCAATTAATTACTTGCAGCTCGTCGTGCCCATTTGAATAGAGGAATAACATGAAACAAAAATAATGCGGTGCGGCTCGAGTTTCGCCATCAGGTGGAAGGTGGTGTCCCCTCTCTCTGGTCAGTCTCACCGAAGGAAAGGAGAGAGCAGGGACCCCTCTGCTGCTCTTCCTCTCTCTCTCGGCTGAGATGGACCATCAGATGCAGGTACCATCAGTCCAGTAAAATAAAAAAGCGAATGACTTATGCTCAGCTGTGCCTCGCAAGTGATACAGCAACATCTATTTTGTTATCAAAGCTTGAGTTTTGAAATATAATATGGTCTGAGAAGAACAATATTGGCAAGCCAAGCATAAATAATATTTAACAAAACTACATTTGATAAACCTGACTCCATTTAAAATTATTGTAAAACCATGTGTAATCAAGTATTATGCGTTTGGCTAAGATCAAGAAATGGTCATAAGAAGTGAATGCAAAATGCAAGTATTATTTACTAACCTTGTAAAATGATGAGATTCACATACATGGCATAAAGCTTAAGTTACAAAGCATTAACAAGAATTACAAGGCATGCCTCAAGAGTCCCATGGGTGGAGAAAGTGAGTCTCTCACCAGCGCAGATCGGGAACAAAAATAAATAAAAATAATATGAGAATGATTCTAAGACCCTTTTATAAGCATCCGAGTTGTTTGGATTTAAAATCTGAGTTGTTGACCAATAGGATACTGTAAAAGTGAACTTCCAATCAGATATCAGACCTAGAGGATGCAAAGACAACAGAACCTCTGCTACCCAGTGGTGTGACGAGGGGGTTGGTGAGATAATACAGCACAAAGGGGTGTCAAACTCATTCCGTGTAGGGCCTAGTGTCTGCAGACTTTTGGTATTTCCTTTCAATGAAGACCTAGACAACCAGGTGAGATCTTTCCTAATTAGTGACCTTTATGCATCAATGAAGTACAAGGGAGGGACAAAAACCCGAAGACCCAATATGCTGTGATAATGTAATAGGCCTACTGCACAAACCTCATTCCTACAGAACTGTTTTTATTAGGTTAATGTTGTATAGGCTTACATTTGTTCATGTTTAAAACAAAAATCTGAGCGGTTGATCTCTGCTTGCTTCTGATATTGACCCAGAAATGGTTGGTGGCCACTGTATAATTTTTTTGGGGGAAAGTAAGGAAGCACTACTAAGTCAAATCCCCTCCTTGGATTGCTTGACACCAAACAATGCTCCACATAGGCCTACCGATTTTCAAGACTGCTAAGTAATTTGGTCATAAACAACGGAAAGAAATGTCTCAAATCAGAGGTGTATTTACTAGAAACCAAATGGAAGTAAACGGACCGAAATGGAGAGGGACTAACTGAATTTGAAAATAGACTTGTTTTCATTGCAAAATGTTCTGCTACGGCTTGCACTAATGATTACACCCCAGGTTGAGAATACATTTGGGATGCTATTTCTATTACGCCAGAGGGTGGTGCCCCCTCCCAGCTTACCTTCAGGCCCATGCGTTTGCGCTGGTCGTGCTCAGGCTCGGCTGCCCACCGTAGGAAGGTGCACACGTCCTTGGCCACCTGGCTCATGGTGGCTGGGGTTCCTGTGATCACATGAGAATGGAAGGTTTTACTTGCAATGTTTATGATATGTGGTTGTCTTATCTACCTTAGTTGAAAGCACTGACTGTAAGTTGCTCTTGTTGAGAGCGTCTGCTAAATGACCAAAATGGAAAATACTACACTACACTATACTATATCAATTCATTAGTCTATTACTATATAGACACCAGAACCTAGATATTCAGTCTGTCATGTCAAGGGTTAAAATTGAGTCCTAGGAGCACAATGGTTAAAAAGGACTTTATGAATTGATTTATCATCATATTATTTCAAGTTAGTGATCCCAAGCAGGGGGAATCCTACTGACCGTCCTCGAATTCCAGGATCTCATTGTAGATCGGGGGAGCCATGCCGATGGCCTGGCCAGGGAAGTAAGGGTTGTAGTAGAGGCCCTCCCTCACCTCCACTCCAGCAGGGGGCTCACAGTAACCCGTCAGTAGGGAGAACACATAGTCTTCACCTCCATGTCTGGAGCAATGGAGAAAAACAACTTAGGACAAGGCACTTGTAAGGCAAGCTAAGGTACGATATCATTGTATGATTTAATAGGAGTGTCTTGCTGTGGATTTACGAAAGTATTATCCTGCTTCATAGACAGTAAAAACGTATTTGGGGTAAGAAAAGGTTACAATATATTCTAACTTAAATCTAACGTTTCGTTTACTGTTGATATGCCCCATCACCAGATACTCTGGCGTTAGCAACAAAGTACCTGGCATTGACGATGTAGCTGAGATCTGGGGGCAAGGCTCCGCCGTTGGCCGCACGGGCAGCCTCTGGGTTGGGGTATGGCTTGGGGAAGTAGTCGGAGAGCTTTCCTGGACGGGTGAACATCTCTCCCGACTCATCAGGGCCATCCACCACCTCAATCTGAGCGGAGAACACAGACGGTGGTCAGTGACTTGGAGAAGGACCAAGATGTCGCTAGAAACTGATAGGTCAGCTTTGCATTTCTGCTCATAATGGTACATTTTAGGATAGGGAAAAGGGATAGCTGATCCTGGAACTGTGCCTAAGGGCAAGTTCTAGCCAGAGGGATTGATACAGTCATCTATAAGGTCATGACCTTGTTTAATCTAATGGCCAAGGACAAAGCCTTACCTCCTCAGCCAAAACCTTCACTTCGGCCTCTGTGTGCGACACTCCAACCAAGTTACGGAAGGCCAGATACTCCATGCTGTGACACGCTGAACACACTTGCTTGTACACCTGATATCCACGACGGATGCTGCAATATAAAGAAAACAGACAAGTTACTATCCATTTCATCCAGTCCTCCTTGTCAGGCAAATATGATCTAGTATGTATTAACAAGCTTCGGTAACACTTTACTTGACACCCCAGTGTCATAACATTATGACACGGTCATTACCATGTCATAACAGCTGACATAACTTGTCATAACCTGTTATAATATAGTCCTAACACTCATGACACATATTTAGACCTGTTGTGACATATTTTGCGTTATTTTATGGCGGGTTATGACACCAACATAAGTGTAAAAACCCACAAAACTTACCACACAAGGCAAAACATTCCATTACACCATAGCCTACGTGTCAACAGTATGTTTATGTTACATAACTTTTTAGAAATTGACCATATTAAATTATCATTGTAATTGAGCACAAATTGATGTCAGACATGTACCAACCCAATGCTCTGTTGCTGATGACTGGGATGAATGCAGGAGCAGATTTCAGGAGCAGGACAAGACACCCTCTTTTTGACTGATGACTGATATAAGGGCATGTACGTGGTAGGCCTTTCTGGTTTATATGATTATCATAACGCTTCTTGACAGTGTAATAAAGTTTATTTTTTTACAAGTTATTTAAAATATGATGGGAAAAAACGTGTAAAGAATTCATTACAACAACAAACTTTCAAACGAAAGGAAACTTCTTGGCAGAGAAAAAACTAATTTGAATAACTGGGTTTTGACACTTATGTAGGTGTCATAACCTGCCATAAAATAACGCAATATATGTCACAACAGGTGTAAATATGGTTTGTGACAGCGTTATGACCATATTATGAAAGGTTATGACAAGTTCTGTCAGCTGTTATGACTGTCATAACGTGTTATGACACTGGGTGTCAAGTAAAGTGTTACCGAAGATTGCCGTAGAAAAATTATATTTCCCTAAAATGAACAGAAACAATTCTCAAAGTCTCAAATCAAATGTTCCATTACTAGCACTGGAAAAAGCCTGGGTGATGACATTACTGTATGATGTTATATGCAATTACACAAGATATGGTAGAAAGTAATTGTGTGTCTTTCTTGGTTAGGAGTTAGCTAATACCTGCCGTGGTCGAGGGCTGACAACATGCCATTGTGGGTCCAGGGGTAGTTGGGGGGGTGAAGCTCCAGGTCTGAGGCCTTAACAGACTGCTGTAGCATCAGAGCCAGCCCGGCCCCACTGGTCGTCAACACACCAAACGTTGTCAGGGCCACCTTCTTCGACCTGGGTAGACTGGCAAATGACATGTTGGCCTGTCGAGGAAGAGAGTTGACATGAGATGACTAATGTAGCTAGCTACCGACATACTGGGGTTGCATAATTTGTCATCCAAAGCATCCATGTGAGGTATTTTTCACAAGAACTTTTGCTGTGACCAAAATTACTTCAATATTGTCATCAATCTTTGTTGGTTCATGATGATATCACTGAATATGCATCTAATGTCAAGGCATACAGCCAAGTGCTTATGTAACTGCCCTTATATCCTGGGTTTCACAACAGATACCAAAGGAGTGAGACTTCTAGCATCACAAGACAGGTTAGGCAAATAGCAACATAGATGCATAACTAGCTAGATAGCAGTGATTGATGAACAGGTGCATGCTAGGAATGAAGTCAGAGCGATATCAATTTGATATACTGTCTGGCAACAAATACCCTTTATAAGAATAACGTTAATGATATCCACACATTAACCTCGACATAAACATGTGTTGTCATGTAACGTTAGTTAGGATAACATTTCCCAGTTAAGAGCCTCACCTATAGATAGTAGTGCATCTACTAGCCAGTCTCAAATCAATCGTTTTTATAAATACAAATCTAGCCAACTAGCGAAGTTACGTCTAGTTAGCTAGCTATGTCAATTCAAACTACATCTCTGGCTCTGTTACAATCTCATTGCTGGTTAGCTGGCTACCTGGGTTTTGCTTTCCAGCAAGCTTCCTACGTGGCTAACGTTACTGTTGTTATCAAACTGATGAGACAGGGCAAGAAAAGCAGATATCCAGCTAACGTTACCCTGTTAACGGAACCTGACATGGCATTATCCCCCATCAACTGGCGACGGTATACGTTCCAAGGCTAACAAACACACAATACTATTTTCAGCCATCCATCGCTTCAAAATAGCAAGGATCACACGCTGGATAATGCCTTATAATGTAGCAAGCTAGCTCACATTTGGTAACGTTAGCATTGCACGAGTGACCTTGCCTTATAGCTACATTACTAGCTAGCTAGCGGTCAGGGTGGCTTTGAGAGTGTTCTCTTTCCTACAAAAAATAGGCAGAAGCGAACATACTCACAATACAGCATTGAGATCATAAACATATCATACCCGAGGTGCCTTGATCGTTTTTGGCGTGCATAGGAGGGCTTTTCCAGTCCCCGATAGCACGACCATTCGTAGCGCCGCCATTTTCTTGCCCTTCCCTGCCTCGAAAGCTTGCGGAACGCGGACCTATATGAAGCTAGCCACAATTACGTCAGACAACGCGTTGATTCCGCCTGCACCTGATTCGGGGATGTAATTAGTTACCCCAGCCACAAAGTCATAAACCCCGCCCATTTCTACAATGTATCTTCTTAACATGTGATTTTAAACCTAACCTTAATCACACTGCTAACCTTATGCCTAACCCTAACCTCAAATTAAGACCAAAAATCAGATTCTTGTTTCTATGTATTTTTACGATATAGCCAATTTTGACTTTGTGGCTATGGTAACGAGTGGAAACCCTGATTCTGTTGATGCCGTCTTCATGACATTTCCATTTCCATTTAAGTCATTTAGCAGACGCTCTTATCCAGAGCGACTTACAAATTGGTGCATTCAATTTAGGATAGCCAGTGAGACAACCACCCCCCATTTTTTTATTATTGGGGGGTGGGGGACGGGGGGTAGAAGGATTACTGTTATACTATTCCAGGTATTCCTTAAAGAGGTAGGGTTTCAAGTGTATCCTGAAGGTGGTCAGTGACTCCGCTGTCCTGGCGTCGTGGGGGAGCTTATTCCACCTTTGGGGAACTCTGACATCTCCGACCTCAGCGTTTTCAAGACAACTAGGAACTTGGAAAAAACAAGCTCCGACTGGGAAAAATATTTTGAACGGCCATCCAACTCGGAATTCAAAGTCGGAAACTCAGAGTGCAAATTATACAATGACATTCTATTTTTTTTCTCTATTTTTCCACCGGACCTCCTATGTAGGCCTACATTTTTCTTTATGGGCCTAATAGTAAATGTTCATCCACTCCAAAATAATTCCAGCATCCAAACAGTGCACTTGTGCCATGTGATGAATGGAAATATGTTACAATACACCCAAAAATTTAATGACATTCGGCAATTGTCATTGGGTCTACACTCTTGTGTGAATTAAATTATGCATCCTGCTGAAAAAATGACTTTTTTTGTAGAAAGAAAAGTTGGGACAAATGAAAAGGGACTGAGATATGGGATCAGAGATGGAAGAGGAAGCAAGACACCCCACTCACAGTGTCCCCCCAATTTATTTATGGTTCAATGAAAGTCAATGAACTAAGTAGACCAGACCCAGCTGCAAAATCAACAGCGACGCTCTGTGGATTTGGAAACTAAAAGTGCTCCTGAGTAGAATGAACCCCCCTTTTAGTGCGACACAATGTACAAAAAAGTGTGTACGGTGCAATATGTATGTCCAATATGAAAAAATAGCTGATTGTATTTAAGCTGAATGGCCATTCTTTAAGGGATGCAAAATTAGCAGCAACACTCCTCTGGGTGTAAACTCTGTGGATTTCGAAAGTAGTAGTGCTCCTGAGTAGAATGAACCCCCCTTTTAGTGCGACACAACGTACAGAAAAGTGTATATGATGCAATAAATGATAGGAGTACACACACAAAAACCATTGTTGACCATTTAGACTTGATAAAAAAAAAAAAAGTAAATCACATAATATCTTTTAGAAATACTTTAAATGATTCTTTGTATGATAACTATACTGAACAAAAATATAAACGCAACATGCAACAACTTCAAAGACTTTACTAAGTTACAGTTCATATAAGAAAATAAATTAATATAAATAAATTAATTAGGCCCTAATCTACGGATTTCACATGACTGGGAATACAGATTTGCATCTTTTGGTCACAGATACCTTTTAAAAAATGGTAGCGTCTTTGGATCAGAAAACCAGTCAGTATCTGGTGTGAGCACCATTTGCAGTGCGACACATCTCCTTCACATAGATTTCATCAGGCTGTTGATTGTGGCCTGTGGAATGTTGTCCCACTCCTCTTCAATGGCTGTGCGAAGTTGCTGGATATTGGCGGGAACTGGAACATGCTGTCATACACTTCGATCCAGAGCATTCCAAACGTGCTCAATGGGTGAGCTGCAGTCAGCCTGTTGAACTGTTGAACTATCAACTCAGGGTTGTTGTTCATCTGTATATTGTCTAAGCTTGGCTTATATGGCTTATATACATAGTTTGGGCTTTGTCCAGTAAAGCTTAAACTATGTATTTAGATTGTAGTTAGGTATTGTAGGTAGTTATCGTGGGTTGTTGTATGTAATTATTGTAGGTTAGTATTGTATTCGGCTGAGCCCGGTGAAGCACGAAGCTAGCTAACCCACTACCTGGACAAGCTAGCGGGTAGCTACTGGTAACTATTAGCAACTGTGGATAGTTGTTTCACGCCTGAGAGTACCTGTAATTACGCCAGCTAGCTGCCTACAATAATTACATACAATAATGCCTACCATTCAGCTGTTTTTCTAACCTCATTGTCTGAAGCGTTAACGTTAGGTAATAAGTGGCTACTGTGCTTGAAATTTAGCTAGCTTGTTGCTACCTAGATGGCTACTAAACAATAGCTGGAACGACCTAGTGAACAGACGCAAACTGGCTGAGTCAATTCAGTGGCTAGCTTTGCACTTGGCTAGCTAACAGTAGCTAAGTTATAACCTACATTTGTGTTTTGTTTTTACATACTGGTAGCCAGAGTCGTTCAAGGGAATTCAGGACATGGGTGACTAGTTAACGTTAGCTTGGCTCTCTCTGTGTGTTCGTGCCGTGGGAGGAGGGGTTTCTTCGTTGTCTGAAAGCAATGGCTAGCTAGTATGCTAACTATTCTAGCTAACTAACTGGCTGAATAAGTTGACGACGGACTCGCTCAAGCTGTCGGGACTAACCCACAACGTTAGACACGAACACGAATGATCTGCTTGGCGTGTTGACACACGGGTGGTTTGTTGTGGCCGAGTATTGGTGCTAAACCGTGTTGTTGGAGTCCGGCATGCTAGTTGGCTGTGGCGTCATATGACTAGGTGGCCTGGACGATTTTCACGGAAGAATACTGTACCAAGTTAGCTAGCTGAATAAACTAAGTTAGTCTATTCCTAGAAAACATTGAACCGCTGTAGTTTACAACAATTATAGTTTCTGAGGTGGAAGTTGGGAGAGTTATATTTGGGTGTTTCAGTGAAATGTAAGTGAGGGAGGCCCTGCTCTCTCCTTTCCCAGATGTTTAGTTCATTTCATTCCGATCTCCTTTGCATTATTGTAGCCATTTTCTGTAGCCTGTCAACTATGCCTCTGTCTATCCCTGTTCTCTCCTCTCCGCACAGGCTATACAAACGCCTCACACCGCGTGGCTGCTGCCTCTCTAACCTGGTGGTCCCTGCACGCACCACCCACGTGGAGTTCCAGGTCTCAGGCAGCCTCTGGAACTGCGTTCTGCTGCCAACAAGGCAGAGTTAATCTCAGCCTATGCTACCCTCCAGTCCCTCGACTTCTTGGCGCTGACGGAAACATGGATTACCACTGAAAACACTGCTACTCCTACTGCTCTCTCCTCGTCTGACCATGTGTTCTCGCAAACCCCGAGAGCATCTGGTCAGTGGGGTGGTGGCACAGGAATCCTCATCTCTCCCAAGTGGACATTCTCTATTTTTCCCCTGACCCACCTGTCTATCTCCTCATTTGAATTCCATGCTGTCATAGTCACTAGCCCATTCAAGCTTAACATCCTTGTCATTTATTGCCCTCCAGATTCCCTTGGAGAGTTCATCAATGAGCTTGACGCCTTGATAAGTTCCTTTCCTGAGGATGGCTCACCCCTCACAGTTCTGGGTGACTTCAACCTCCCTACGTCTACCTTTGACTCATTTCTCTCTGCCTCCTTCTTTCCACTCCTCTCCTCTTTTGACCTCACCCTCTCACCGTCCCCCCCTATTCACAAGGCAGTCAATACGCTTGACCTCATCTTTACTAGATGCTGTTCTTCTACTAATCTCACTGCAACTCCCCTCCATGTCTCCGACCACTACTTTGTATCCTTTTCTCTCTCGCTCTCCTCCAACACTACTCACTCTGCCCCTACTCAGATGGTAATGCGCGGTCGCAACCTTCACTCTCTCTCTCCCGCTACTCTCTCCTCTTCCATCCTATCATCTCTTCCCTCTGCTCAATCCTTCTCCCTCCAATCTCCTGATTCTGCCTCCTCAACCCTTTCTGCATCCTTTGACTCTCTATGTCCCCTATCCTCCCGGCCGGCTCGGTCCTCCCCTCCTTCTCCGTGGCTTGATGACTCATTGCGAGCTCACAGAACAGGGCTCTGGGCAGCCGAGCGGAAATGGAGGAAAACTAGACTCCCTGCGGACCTGGCATCGTTAAACACCCTCCTCTCTACATTTTCTTCATCTGTTTCTGCTGCTAAAGCCACTTTCTACCACTCTAAATTCCAAGCATCTGCCTCTAACCCTAGGAAGCTCTTTCCCACCTTCTCCTCCCTGCTGAACCCCCCCCTCTGTGGATGACGTCGTCAACCATTTTGAAAAGAAGGTTGACGACATCCGATCCTGGTTTGTTAAGTCAAATGACACTGCTGGTCCTGCTCACACTGCCCTACCCTATGCTTTGACTTCTTTCTCCCCTCTCTCTCCAGATAAATTCTTGCGACTTGTGATGGCCGGCCGCCCAACAACCTGCCCGCTTGACCCTATCCCCTCCTCTCTTCTCCAGACCATCTCCGGTGACATTCTCCCTTACCTCACCTTGCTCATCAACTCATCCTTGACCGCTGGCTATGTCCCTTCCATCTTCAAGAGAGCGAGAGTTGCACCCCTTCTCAAAAAACCAACACTCGATCCCTCTGATGTCAACAACTACAGACCAGTATCCCTTCTTTCTTTTCTCTCCAAAACTCTTCAGTGTGCCGTTTTTAGCCAACTCTCTTGCTATCTCTCTCAGAATGACCTTCTTGATCCAAACCAGTCAGGTTTCAAGACTGGTCATTCAACTGAGACTGCTCTTCTCTGTTCTTCTCTGCTCTTCTCTGCACCTCCGTACCTTCAGGCTCTGATCAGTCCCTACACCCAAACGAGGGCATTGCGTTCATCCACCTCTGGCCTGCTGGCCCCCCTACCTCTGCGGAAGCACAGTTCCCGCTCAGCCCAGTCAAAACTGTTCGCTGCTCTGGCACCCCAATGGTGGAACAAGCTCCCTCACGACGCCAGGACAGAGGAGTCACTCACCACCTTCCG